TTTTTGCAAGGACAACAAAATGGCAAAATAAGTATTTACTTGCCTAATAATTCTGTATAGCTTCTAAGAAATTACTACCAGCATTAAATAAATACACATAGAAAAAAATTAATTGACTTCTTCAGCATAATTATCCCATACCAGTAAGGATGGAGGAGATTAATAGTATTGATTGGTTATAAGCCAGTACACTTCGGGTTAGAAGCTCCCCTTTGTTTGGCAGATTGGAAAACACAAACACTGGTGTATCTCCATTTATTAGCAGCTCACAAAAACCAAATGTGAAGATGAAAAACCTCCCTAGGTGATCAGTTCTGGTTCCCTCTGCAGCAGAAACCTTCCACAAACTAAGGGCCCTCAAGAAACAAGGTCAACACTTGTGCTACACCCTTTTGCCATAACACATAAGCTGTTCTCTGGTTTCCTTGCATTAAACCATGCACTGCTTAAACTTCACAAATTCCAAGCTGAAATGCACTCAGAGTGATTTATTTCCACTTACCTTGGGAAATCCCAAATATATTGAGGCTGTTTTCATCTCTTCATGGAAAATGTAAATCCACTTACTAATAACGAGTTCCTGTAGCACCTCTTCCTGCCCCACCAGCCAACTCTCCAGTCCTTCCCTGCCAGCTCTTACTCCAAATGTTGGCACAGAAAGCTGAGCTTGTCTGGGCTTGTTCCCTTTATCCTGCTCTCAATATTCGGATCAGCTGTGCTCATCCCTTTTGGGGTCAGCAGCACAGGTGTTTTCTGTCAGTATTTAAAAAGAGGAGATTCCAGCTGATGGTAAAATTAAACCGGTCCAGAATTCAAATGAAACTACTTCCCATCAGAACAATCCACAGGCACAGAAGACTTGCACAGAAGTTTTGGGGAAGGTTTCTCAGCCCAGGATAGGAACAAATTAGGAAGGAACAAATCACCCACTCAAGAATAACCCTGTTACTATGGGCATTTGCTTGATATAGAGGGTTGGAACCCTTGAAAGAGCAAGGTGGAAATCATCCTCTCCACATGTTGGCAAAAGGTTTCACACACTGAGATGTAGTGACAGACCATGTGTTTTTTCCATTAAAATATGCCTAAAATTATGAGTTTAATTAACACATTAAATTAAAACTATTTCCTAACCCATCACATGCTTATGAAATGGAATTTTTGTTCGCCAAACAAGCCTCAGAAATGTGATTTCCAGCCTTTTGCTTCGTACAATGACTTGTTTGAGGAGGCCAGCTCCAGTCAACTCACTGATACAGAGGATGTTTCAAGTTGCTTTATCTTTGTTGGACAATGCTGCAGATATGAATTCCAGCACAATCACTCCCTAGGCGAGCTTCCACCTCTTTGAATTAGAGTGACATTGTGACATTGCCATAATGTTCTTTTCCCCTTCCTTTTCCACACTGTTATATTGGTTTCGATGCCAACCTGCATCTGAATCTTTCATTGTGCCTTCAGTCTGTGGGATTGGAAATGAAGATGAAATGGATTTTTGTGTACCCAAATGCTCTGTAATGCTGATAAGGATGTGAGCAGAATACAGACTAATCCAAAAGTATTGTGCATTCTGCCTGTCTGGTAAAGGAGATACTTATTCAACAGTCTGTTGATAAATGATTTGTAAACCTCACCCTGAATAAAAAGAGGACTCCTTTCTCCTAATGATCCTGATACAAGGAATTGAATAAAAAGCTCAAGGAGATTTTTGACAATGATATGACTCCTGGGAGCCTTCACAGTCACTTCTCTGTGTGTCCAGCAACAGGCAACGGCTGTTGGGGTTAATTAGTCCAACCTTCCCTTGCTTAGATCTCTTCCAGCAATTATGTCATGGGCATGGATCTTAATTAGCATCTCTTCTCTCTTAATCTTCTGACTGGTGTCAGAAGGTCACTTTGAGAGCCAGGGTAACTAAGAACAGTGGCAAAAATGGCCTTAGCTCTGGTTCTTGCATCATTTTTTCCCGTGCTGGCAGTTGTCTTTATTTCACAGATTGTTTCCATTCTGCTGCAGTGACCACACATGACAAAGCCAGAGGACACAAATGGGCTTCTAAAGGCAGCAGTGTCACAGTGCTGGAAAAGCAGAGCAAGGGGAACCAGAACAAATTATTTTACAAAGCTTTGCATTTCCCTGAGCAGTGCTAACAGTTCACTTTCCTTAGGCAGGGGGCTGGAGGAGAGCTTGGTTTGCTCAGTCTCTTCCTCAAGTATCAGGATTCACCATGTCTGAAAGGGAGGACAAACTGGCACCTGCACCAGGCTGAGGACACCAGGGTAGACTAAGAAGTGTTCGTGTCTCAGGAGGTTACAAGTGACACGTTACCCTGCTGGAACTGTGCTGACAGGCTGCTTTCTGAAGGTATCACGGAGCAAGTGAGAATGTTTTGGATCATCTCCAAACCACAAGTGTAAAAGTGAGCTCACCAGTCCCTCACAGCATCTCACAGGTCAGGGGTGAGTTTATTCAACCTTTAACACCAGAAATTGGAAGTGCAGAAATCTGCTCTTGGCCCACCTGTGAGTTAGGGTGACAAATCCCTTGAAGATAAAAGCGAAAGGGAATTTGGAAATTTCTCTTTACTTATTACTCTCTCCCTGCAACACTAAGAATTGCAAAAGCCTTAAAATTCTTAAGAAGTGCCTTTGGTTTAGGAGTGAGAAGTTTTGTGTGTCAGGCAGTGGCAACAAGAGTTCTCCTGTTGAATCTTGCCTGGATTCAGTTGGGCAATTCTGTAATGACATCCAGTCCCTTCAGAGCTGCATTCTGTGCTGTGGCTGAATGATGATTATAAGAACCTTAATTGGAAAGTTATAGATATTGCTGCTCTGTTAACCCCAAATACCAAAGCTCCCTCTCTGGTGTAAATATCTGTGTAAGGGATGCACGTGTATAAATCACCATCAATTCTCCCCATCATCAGCAGAGAGGCTGCCCTGGAGATGAAAACGAGGGAGCTGAAGGTGCTCAGAGGACGTGCTGAGGGCATGGAATCCAAAAAGCACAGTCACATCTGTGAACAAGAGGCCAAATAAAAGCAAACCATATATAAAAACCAGAGCCCAGCCCCATCTACTCCTAGAAATAAACCTGTTTCAGCCCACGTTAAAATCCCAAATGCCTCCTGGTTTTCCCCTTGGAAAGTCTGCTCAGAACCTGGCAGCAAAATGCCAATAAGCAGATCTTCGCTTCAGCAGCTTCAGCTTACATCTACTGCAGCTCAGGTGTTTTTAGTTCTCTGGGTTCAAACAAAGTCCAAGTCTGGTCTGAATGGTCTCAATGTTGATTCTTGGGCTATTTCTGCAAGTTTAAGCAGAAATCCTGTAGCATTCAGCCAACATGCCAAGCATCTGTAAAAGCAATCCCAGTTCAATTCAGTGTATCAGCAGTTATCCACCCAGTCTTGTCATTTTAATTTTATACGTGTTAAGTTGTAATTTAATGGCAAAATGATAATGTTTTTTCTCTGTTCAGAGCAAGTTCCTGAGCAGGGAATGATTTGCACACCTGTAGGACAGGAGTTCTCTATATAATAAACAGTATTAAACTGGGGGCATCCTAGTGGAAACTTTTAATTTAGTTTTAGCCTCTTAGGACAGCCATGTAGCCATTCTGCTTATCAGATGAGTCTAAGATAGTAGTTATTAATTTTAAGATGCACTTTAAGGGAATAAAACCCTTAGTAGGTGCTTTAACTTTCTATCTAAAGCAGAGTCGATTAAATTAACTCATTTGGAACTATTTCTAACTGATCTTTGCATTGTGTCCAATCCACTAGTTATACTGCTGTTTCTTATACAATGTTGTTCATTTTGAATGCATTGTAGGCATTTGAAAAATGAAAGCATATTAGCATGGCCTTGAATTTTATTTATTCATCCTCTAAAGATCCTCCAAAGATCACCAATGCTGTTGAATGCATAGTTACCCATGATCAATGTGATATTATTTGGCTTTCACTGTCCTGTCCCAGCTGGCAAAGCACCACTGTGAGCACTAACACTGGGGAGCAGGTGGCACAGAAATTTTACATTTCTTGTTACCTCTTACTCGTGGCAAATTCTGAACACATTCTGAACATCAACAACAACAGGAACCTGCCCAACCTTTTCACTCCCATCACCCCAGTACTGCTCTCTTCAGGACTTGTCCCTTAGGTCAGAGCAGCCCATCAGTTTTCTGTCTTGGGACAGTCACAAGAAAACAAAGCTGCAGACAAATTACTTGAAATATTTTGCTAATTATACCCCTAATAATGTAAGAGTGTGAGCAAAAACTGTGTGAAGGTTTTATTCCACCCACAGGATGTGATATGCTTAGTGACCCAGAGCAGTTCACTGAAGTCATTAAAATTTTAGTACCATAAAACAAAAGTGAGGCTTTTTCGTCTATTTTTATTTCCACAATCCATAGCAAAGTATTTTTTGCCATGAGAAGAGAGAAAACGAGGTTCTATTTCATGTTAAACAGAAATAACTTCCTCTGTGCATTGGGGAAAAAAAATAGAGGGCCAAATCAGACTAGACTGCACACAACAAGATCTGAATGAATCGGTACAAATGCTCCAACTCTTTCCTAGCACAGTGCCTGAGATTTGATTCACTGTGGGGACATTCTGCTGGCTCACACTCTCAAAATTCTCTTGGTTTCAGGATATTCCTGCTGTGTTTGATTAGATATTGTTATCCTGTTCTAGTCCAACCACATTTGTTATTAAATATGGCACTATGGAATGTGACTGATGAAAGTTTAGCTGGTTAAATATTCCAAAATTTCAACAGACTTACACTGTACCTTTTCCTGGAGGAAAGCTGAAGAGCATATTTTGGTTAAAGGAGGAATGCTGTCCCATTTTAATGCCACCAGTTTGCTGCTTATCAATAACACAGTCACTTTAGGGCTTGTGTTTTTTTGTAATACTCTCCATGGTTTATTAATGAAAATAACTTGCCAACTTTTATTCTTCTCAAAAAAAAAAAAATGGTAACACACAGATGTACAAACCCACATTCAGGTGTTGCTTTATTGGTGCATTACAACATTACATTTCCTTCACACTGAGAAAGCATGAGATTAAAATACACTGATCCACAAAAATGCCTTCCCTATGCTGACTTTGCACTGGTGATTATGGCACCTACAGATCCCTCCACGAGTTTCATTCCATTAAGTCCTTCATAACTTTAATTACATTTTAATCAAAGCTTTTACACTGCCTGTTTTATGACTCTCAATTTAATTATTCCCATTAAAACGTGTTATTCCTTACTGCTTTTCCAACTTCACCAATTACTCCTGCCATTTAAGTTTTTATGCCGTGTTACACTTCATACCCAACCTTTGAACATCCACTCCTCATCTGAGGGCTGTACAAGCTTCCCCCAGCCCAAAGCAGACAGCTTGTTTGTATCAAAAGCCATTAAAACACTGGGAATGTGTACAGCACACTTAGGAGGCCCCACTCAGTTTTGAGAATAAGCCAGATCTATATAAAAACATGCAAAATGCTCTATGCATCAGTATGAAACTTCTAATTTGATTTAAGATTTACTTATTTTTTCTTTTTAACATTTGCATATAACCTGGAAGACTAGGGTTCCTGCTGAAAGAAAAAGCTAATGGCTAAGCCTGCCCCCTCCTCTAGGGCTTTCTTTAATCCTCCCATGTGAAGCAATAGAAAATTATATCTGTTACAGAATTCTGTAGGATGGTTTAAAAACCTCATAGGAAGATTAAACCTCCACTAGACTGTGTGGGTTTCTAGAATTAGACCTCAATTACACCAGAGGAGTGTTCTGTCAAATCCAGTGCAAAAGCTGAATAACTTGGCTTTGCTGATGCTGGTTTTGTGAATTTATATTCACCAGCAATGTTTGGGTAATGTCTCCGCTGTAGAGTTCAGAATTCTGTAACTGCCAGGAAAACATCCCACCTCTCACTGACAGAGTCCAACTGGTATCAGTTTTAAAGTAGATCAGGCCTGATTTCTCCAGAACACTTCTGGGTTCATGCCTAGCACATTCTGTTCCCTAATGCCATTTCCTATTTGTAGTTATTTCCAAATATCATATAAGTTTATACATAGCAAGGTTGCATCCTCTTGTACACAATCATTATGTTTATTTTTAAAGGGACTCTAAATTTACTTGCTTTCTATAAAAATTCAAGTGTTGCCAATCAGGAAGTAGCTCTTCTCAAAACAAAAAACAAAAAAAACCAAACCTACAAAGCTTAGCTTTGAGAAAAGTAAATGACAAGCCTTACATGAAGACACTGAGCTGTTTGAATCACAAAATGCCTACGAGGCCAATGCATATTCCAACAGGAACACGTAAATTATAGTTATGGCAGCAGTCTCCTCCAGTCTAAAGCACCGTAATAATGGTCGTCGATCAGCGCTATCTTCATCTCTTTAACCAGCAGCTCCGAGTGCCAAGATGGGGTCTGGAACACTTGCCTGCTTTTTCACAGGATACCTAAGGGAAAAAACATCTGGAATCCGACATCCTGCCATCCAAAGGTACATCATTTCACAGGAATGTGGTGTATACTGCATAGTGCATACACACAACAAAACAGAGTCCCAGTGCTAATAAATTAACCCAAGTCCCACGCTCGGGAACCTTCCCCACACCAACAGCGGTCGGATTTGTTGAGTTTCAAGTCAGGCACCGAGCCAGCCTTCCCAGAAAACTGTCTGCAGCCTTGCTCTGGACACGTTACAGCGCTGGAACCACCACAGGCACTCGAAGTCACAAATGAAAATCTCTGCGTTTCTGTAGATGGCCAGTGCCGTGGTGAGGCACTACACGAGAACGGACGTGGCACACCAGGGCCACACAAAACTCTGTGCTTCCTTATTCTCCCAGTTTTAAGATTTATTTTTTTTTTAAATGACATTTCTTTTAAAGACTTCAGCTTGTGGAATGTCATGGGTGTTCTTTTCTTTCGCTTTGTCTGGGTGGTAATTACTGCAAGAGCTGTCAAAACATTGCTGAGGATGTAATATCAAGTTTTTAGTCCGTCCTGTGAATATCTATGTTATTGTGAGTTGGTAATTTGAACAGCATGGAGTTTCTTGAATGTGAGAGTCACCCTGAAGAACTACTAATGCATGAAGCTTGGCTCTTACAAACATTTAACCCTTCATACCTTCCATCTGCTTTATCATTAGTAGCTCAGAATGACCTTGTCGAAGCCTGACAATTAATGCAAAGTTTTGCCGACATATGGAGTTTTGGTTTTTTTTTATGTTAGAATGCAACAAGATAAACATAAGGATGATGCCCTAAATTATCAAATTATATGGCTGGCCCCAACAGATGCTGAACACCTGGTGAAAAGTGCTGTGTGTACTCACCACCCAGCAAAATCTATGAGTGCTGAAGATGACCAGAACTTTGTAGAAGGTTAAGTCAGTAGCTCAGAAAAATCTGTTTCCAGATCTACTATATCCTCAACCACATCTCCTTAAAATTACTCTCTTAGCCATTCTCCATAGGGGATTGTTTGTAATTCTTTCCCCTTCCCTCAATAGATCTGTTTGCAGTAGACTGAAAACAGGTAATGCAACAACAAGTCAATATGAACTGAAAAATTAACTTCAGAAGTATGAAGATATTATGGTATTAAAATAAAATATTTAACTTCTCTTTATAAAAAGGAAAGAAACAAAAGAAAAACCAAAACCAAAACCAAAACACAGTAAGAAACACTGTTAAGAGACCAGCTGGGAGGAAATGTGAGAAGGCTTTAAAAGTTCGTTCTGCACATTTCTCAAAAGTCATACGGGACCTTCAGTTATTCCCTCCAGAGGCAGCCCAGTAGCATTATCTGCTGTAGGTCGCTCTTCCTTCTTCACAGAGTTCTGATCCAGCAGGCTGACGTAAGATTTGTGACAAGCTGTGTTGCCCAGAGGAGGGTAGTGCTGTCTGTAGCAAATATAAGCAAAAATGAGGCCAATGATCCCTCCAACGAAAGCATCTAGACAAGAGGAGCAACAAAAGCAGAAGCACGTTACCAGGGAAAGGTCAGCCAGAAGGGACAACTGTAAATAGAAAACATTTGCTTGGCGTGGATGTGTTCAACCCAGAAAATGTGAACTCTGAATTTCCACAAAGAATTTGGAGCCAAACACCACAGCCACACAGGACACATAAAATCAGCACTTTGAGGGGACATGGCCAACATTTTGAATTCCCCAAATGTAGGTGGCTGGCTGTGCTTTGGGAGATGAGCAGAGGGAAGGGAATGGCCTCCACGGGGCATTAAACACCCATGGTGGTCTAGAGTGCTGCTGACCAGCATTTGTGGGTTAAAACCCATGGATCTTCATCCAGTCTGCCATCAGTCAGAGTGATCACCACCAGGATTTCTGTTTATTAGCTGACCTGTGCTGCTGTCAGCAGCCAGAGCTCTCCTGCTGACAGCTCCATCCCAGCCTATTGCACTGACTGCAGTCTGTTCCCTGCACAAGCACCCCCAGGAAAAAAAGGCAGTTAAAGTGCCAGATCTGCTCATGACTTTGTATTCCAGAAGGAATCCTCCACTGTGGACAGGGAGCAGTTGGATGTAAGTGGAAAATCATCTCCCTTCAGGCAGTGGGCCACTGCAGCTACAGCAATTCACTTCTCTTGCAGCTCCTGCAAGGCCCCTGAGAAAGACAGCTGTCAACAACCATGGCAGGCTGGGTGAATTCTTACCAAAAGCACCTGAAAGGTCAAAGAGTGGCATGCCTGTTAACTGACTTAACGCCTTCTGAATATCTTTCTTTGATGCTTTTTACCATCCCATAGTCCTTCCAAAAAAACCCCAAAATAAAATAAGCTAAAATAAGGCCACTGCATGAGGGATTTGCAGCTCTCACACACAGGCAATTTTAAGTTTTCTATGGGAACTGAATAGCACCTGAAGTGTAAGAAGATTCCTTCTGCTGTCAGGTTCTGCCTCTTACTAAAACACTCCTCTGATCTTGTGTTTCATTTCCAAACAACCAGAGGAAAATTTCACTGGAAATACACCCTGTCTTTGAAAGCCTCAGATTCAGCACAAAAAAAATAATGGAAATGAACAAAAGGCACTGGCTGGGATAGGACTTGGCAGCACATTTTATTGTAACAAGACTTATTAAGCACTGTATCATCTGTGTATACCTGTGTTTCCATCCTTTCAATTACAAAGAAACCACAGTGCAATAAAAACGGTGAATCATTGAGTTTAGTGACAACGGAGGGTAAATCAATACAAATTATTTTGGTCCAAAGTCCTTAAATAAGGATTAAATTCCCTAGCTTGTCAGCCTGATATATATTAGAACAAAGGCATTAGAACAAGGTTCAATTTTCAGTGGGTAATAAATGGTTTGTAATCATCAGAGAAGCGAGATTTCTTTTAACAGGAATAGCTAGGGCCAGAAAACCTGAAATATTTAATGCTGAGATGAATAAATTTAAGAAATGTGATTACCAGTCACAGCTGAGGAAGAGGAGATCCCTTCTAATCCTATATTACCTTTCTACACACAAAAGGACATAACAAATCTATCACAAACAGATGTAATAGAGGTTCAAGCAAGATTTTAAAAGGTGATTGTGTGTGCACAGTATTTGGAAGCAGATGGAATCTTGCCCTATCCACCCAGCAGCTGATTTTAGACCATTCAGCCTGTCCCTATCAAACTGTCATGGTACAAAAGGTACCAAGGGCAACAATTTTCACTGTACAGCATCAATCAACTTGTAAAAAACTTAGTTATTGTGACAAGCTTAATTTTCTATAAACCTGTGTTGGGTGCAATTCTCAGATTACTCTGCTTTGACTGTGGCTGGCTGAATATTGTTCCAGCTGGTTTTTTTATTTTGCTTAGCAATAAAGTCAAGCCTATGATTACTATTTTTGAGTTTCTCCATAATTTTTCCACATTTTTTTCCCACATTTCTCCACAGTTTTGCCAGTCCTCTACAAGTTCCCTGGAATTTTAAGACTTGCTGTAAACTTGCCCAGATTATTTCTTTGCCTAAACATTTACATGCAAATGATGCAACTCTGGGCCTCAGTCTGGGCACCACAGTAATAAAGATTCACTACATGAGTTATGCCAAAGATTTCTCGCTTACTGACCTTGACTGGGGGTAAGGAGCAAACACACAGGCAGCTATTCTGACTCCTGTTTTTGAAGATAACAATTCTGTCTTTGTTTGAGCTCATGGGAGCCATAATTTACTTTTTGTTTTGTTTTGTTTGTTTGGGGTTTTGTTTTGGTTCTGGGGGGTGGTTTGTTTGTTTGTTTTTCCCATAAAGGAAAAAAAAAAATTCAGTCTCAGTATTTAACTTTATTTCCGCTTATTCCATGAGTAAACTAACATTTCCAGAATTAGAAGTCTACGGAGAGATTTGGTGACTAAAAAGTTGTCCACAAACATTCTGAACTCACAATGAAATATCCTAATATTCCCCAGAACCAACACTAAGGTCTTGAATATTACTTTCTTCAGCCAAACTGAAGGGAGCTCATAAAGTTCTCACAATATTAACATTCTGAGCCCACTCAATGGCTTTTTAATATAAGGAAACTCCACTCCATCTTTCACCCACAGTGTGCTCAGCCTTGGACATTAAACTGATGGTCCTTTTTCATTCCCCACAGCTCAGAGGAGGCTCCATCACAAAGCCCCTATAAATAATTTAGCACAATTGGCTGACTCTGCTGAGCATAAAAGTCAAGGCCTGAGGTTCTGTGCTGTGTATTCCAGAGTGAACAATTCCCTCCCCTGAGAAGAGAGTTCTTCCAGGGAAAAACCCAGGTCAGCTGCGGGATAACGCCTGCCAGCACTGCTCTTTGGGAAGAGCTGAGTTTCCAGCTCCACCTCCTTAAAATTCCAAGGCAAAACAGGATCAGCTGTGATGAGCACAGCCACACAACCCCCGGGGTGCAGTTCTCCTCCGTGGTGAATAAAACACGCCGTAAGAACCTTCCCCACGGCACCCGTTTCACCACGTAAATAATTCCTGCTCTTGGCAAGGGATAGCACACACTGCAAACACGTGTCCAGAGCTTGAGAGTGAACCTGTACATCCTGTTCACATTCATTCACACTGCTCCCTTGCTCCTGAACAGGGAGCCCAGTGTCACACACACACATCTGCTGCCCGCCCCTCCTGCCGAGGCACCACCTCGAGCTCTCAGCTTTGTGCTGGAGGCTCTGCCCGACTTCAGTGCTGCTGAGCAAAGAGTAATGAGCCCTGGAACAACACAGGGGACCTGCTGGAAACCAGGAGACTCCTTCAAGAACATGCCAAGGCTGATGGCTGGTGATTAAGTAGCTAAGGCAGAGCAGCAAGAACACGACAGGGAGAGAAAAGGCATGGACGGGTCTGGATCTGGTGGATGGGTCTGGATCTGGAGGGGATGAGGGAGAGAAACTGGGAGTGAAGTGGAGCCCAGGAAAAAGGGAGAGTGGGAAGGTGTTTTTAAGATTTTCTTTGATTTCTCATTCTCCTGGTTTGATTGGTAACAAATTAAACTAGTTTCCCCAGGTCAAGTGTTTTGCCCATGCTGGTAACGGCTGAGTGATCTGTCCCTGAACTGTCTGAACCCATGGACCTTCCACTGTACTTTTTCTGTCCTGTCCAGGTGAGGAAGGGAGTGACAGAGGGGCTTTGGTGGGAACCAATTTCCAGCTTGTTTTGGGAAACAGGAAACAATATGTAACTAGCATTAACCACATCATGGGAAGGAGCACTCACGACCTCGAGGGGAGTATGATTTACAAGGCCAGCAGTGCCACATAAAGCCAAGAGGACCTACATAAGAGAATCAGAAATGCATTCCAAGGATGGCAGTTCCAATAGGAATATAGGGACAAATAGGGCAAAAGTAATTACAGGCTTTATATAATTACTAAATAATTACCTAATTATTTAGTAGGAGGGATGAGCGAAGCAGGGAAGGTACAAAGATGGCAAGAAAGAGGGTCAAGAAATGGCAGAAGAAAGAATAGATGGTGGTGTTTTCTGAATTGTACCTCAGTAATATGTGTAATTAATAAATGGGATAGTCTTCTACATCAGTTACATCTTACACCTGAATTTTAAAGGGTTGAGACAACATTCTTTCTGTGACAAATACAGTTAATCTGCCTGGTGTTGCAGTCCAGAAGTGCCTGCTGTGGGGAGAGAGACAGTGCTGTGGCAGAGCCCTGAAGCTGTGAAGTTCAGTCAGTGCTGGTTAACTCAGCCTCACTGGGAAACCTCAGCCTCCATCCAGGAGCAAGGAAAATCAATAGCACACCACGGTGTTTTAACTGTCAGATAATTTGGAAAAAAAAAAAAAAAAGCAGGAATAAAGCTGGCTCACCTTGCCAGTGATGTTTGTAGTCACACATCCGTGACAGGGCAATCATCATGGCACAGTAGAGGGGCAGGATGGCTGCACAGAGCCTCCAGCTCTTGCCCCGGCCGCTCTCGGTGAAGCAGTGCAGCTTCCCAGCCAGGTAGAAGGTGGTAAAGCCAAGGCCTGAAAATGCAACTGATAAAGACAAACACGTCACCAGGGTGTTTTATTTTCATCACTGCTATCCCTCAAGGTCTGACAGCAGCATTGGGAAGACCCATCTGCAAAAAACTGGGGGAGCTTCATCATTTAAATGGTGATTCCTGTGGAACCACATCAGTGGTTATATGGTTATATATATGGTTATATATAAATGCTGTTATAACACAGCATTTTAAGAGAATGCAGCAAATTGCCTTCTTGCTTTGTTTGGATTTTTAACAAAGCAATCACGAGCTTAGGAACTTTAAGAAACCCTCATTTTTGAGGGGCTGAATGGGGAAAGACAATTTTCCTCAAGCTCCATGACATCCTTATATTCTCCACAGCAGCGGTGTTATCAGCATGGCAATGCAAGCACCCAGGCAAGTGAGCACTGCAAAGCAAATTGACTTTCTTCTCATACATACTCAGCTTTCACATAATCTGACATGTCTGCAAACACTGTGGTACCTTTAGACGTTCACCTGTGAAAGAGAAATTTAATTTTTTTTTTTCCCCTTCAGCAATTTACCTTTTTCCTCTGGGGGAGACATCAGCTGTGAACAGAATGCCTGATTTTACTTGCACACTAAATTAAACATTTAAGCAAATTTTTTAACTGGAGTCACAAAAGCTTTTTCATGCTTCAACCTTCAGCACATCTTTCCTGATTTTAGACCTATTCAGAAAAAGTCAAGGCTCAAAGCAGAAAAGGATTCAGACAGTTTGTACTGTAATTGAATTACATTCAAATGAGATTTTTAGGTTCCATTAACCAGTTTCTATAGAACATGCACAACTGGCAGTGGTGAGAGAAGTCAAGCCCCAAGTTTCTGTACTGAACTTCTTCCTTGCTGTGGTTCCTCACCTTCCAGAGAGATACTAGAGAGATTTTTTCAAATTATTATTATTTTTTAACATGTATTTATATTTTTTGAAAGAACCAAACATCTGAATATTTCTTTTCAGTAGGAAAATCAGTGCTGCAGCTGAAAATGTAGCTCTGTGAAACAAATCTTTCTTCAACAACAAATGACAAATTTCATACTCAATTTTGGTTTTGCCTGCAGAGATCAAAAATTAGAACACGAGCGCACAAACCACAGGGAGCAAAATTAGACACATTTATCAAAGAATTTGAAATTTTTTTTTCTGATTATGCTTTTAATCTTTGTGATATCTAAGCAACTCTATAAGGTGTAACAGGTGGCATACTTATCCAACCATCTGAAATCTTTTTTTTTTCTGAATACCTTTATACTTTTTATCTTTTTTATATCTGAGGAACTGTATAAGGGGTAATAGGTGACATTCATAATACTTAATATATAATTCTGTTCTGGTTCTGCTATCAGCCAAGCTAATGGTAAAACCACTACCAGTGCTGGGTCAGATGTTTATCTTTCTTTCCAGTCTCCTGATAGGGCTTTTCAAATGCCCCCCACCTCGGGTTCCCAAATGTCAGGTGTGGTGAAGCAATCCCTTTGTGTTCTGCTGATAAATCCACGGGGCTGCTCAGTTTTAGCTGCCAGTACAACAGAGTGATTCCACAATTGCTAAAGATCTGCATTTCATCTTCAAACACCCAAACAAATCACTCCTCTGCATGGCTGGGGTGGAGCCAGACAGAATGCAGATTAATCATCAAACCAGTACACCAGATATGCTGCTTTCTAGATGCTTTTCCAGCCAGTGCTGATTCCAGATTTGTCAGCAGACAGTGGGAGGCAGACTCTGAAATGTTAACAATCCTGAATAAATAAAGATGTCTTGCAGACTGGGCTACCTTCCCATGCCCAGACCTTTGAGAGCTGTGCAAACTTTGCCTTTCAGACTACTGAACAAGGAGAAATAATTTCTTCTGACATTTCAGGGAATTCTTGAAATGAATGTGTTTTCCTAAAGAGTAGCATGTCTTGCACAGAAAAAAGGCTGTGAGATGCACAGTCCAAGCTCCAGGCTATACCCACCAGGAAGAAAAATAAACCTCTGATACTGCTAACATAGCTCAGAAAATTGGAATAGCCCTCTCCTTCTTCAAACATCCTCTCCAACTCTCAGTGCTTAGACTGACAGACCTAAACCAACAAATTAACATTTCTTCTTGTGCCTCTTACATTTTTAAAATTTGCCCTGACAAAAGGCAGCACTGCTCTTGCCTGTGCTCTTCCCCTTGCACCAGGAAATTTTTGTGGCGTGGGCTTTTGTATCAAAGATCTGCAGTTCTTCATAGGGTTGGTTTTGGGGTGGGTTTCTTTCTTCATGGCTAATAAAACACAGTCACACCTGTGGGAACAGTCACAGGGGTGCCCATTCTGCAGAATTTGGAACTAAAAACACATCTAAACTCACCTGAGACGGTAAGGACAGGATTTTTTGCATCATTCCATCTTCCAGTTGAGTAAATGGAGCGAGCCAAGTGAAATCTGTCTTGGATATGCAACACCAAATGCAGTCCTGGAATGAATACTTTCAAACACTTCCTCTCCAGAATCACTTTCGTCTTTGTATTTCCATTTTTCATCTCGGGTTGTTATTTTTGAGATCTTCAGAATTAAAATCTGAAGATAGTAATCCCAGGCAGAAGAATCAACTGCTTTGTGGTTTCATTTTCAGGCAGCCTACAGTGCCCTGCAGTTTAGAAGGCTTAAAGAAATACTGCCCAAAGTATAAAATAGGTGTTCAGTTCACACAGACCCATATTCAGGGTTACTAACATTTACCAGGCAATTTTACTAGCAACTGTCAATAGCAGCAGATTTAACTAAATGGACTTACGAGAAAATCTGGTGATATTTTGAAAAAAAAAAACAAAATATTTCCCCAGAATTAGTGGCTTTTTTTGGTCAGGATCTGCTGCATTTCCAGGAGGAGGTGCTCATGAACGAACGTGGAAGTTCAGGAGATTTGCACAAGACAAAAAAGGAGGATTTTGTCTCAGATGGCTGACGTGTTCCTCTAAACCAAAAGTCAGGAACAGACTCACAACCACTCCTCTAGGGGAATTTCTGGTTTCTTCCAGAAAGAAATTAATTAATTTATGGAAAGGAGGCAAGGCCACAACATGAAATGCCAAGCAGGTCTCTTTGGAGACATTGCCACAGAAGGAAGTAAGAAAATCACTCTGATTTAGTTTCAAACAATTTTAACGCAACACAGACGTTGGTGCAAATTCCAGACACAAATATTTGAATTATTTGAAGTGGTGAAAGAGGAGAAAGGAAACAAATCAAACATACAGTAAGGGGAAATGAGATATTTTAAACCATTGGTGTAGCTAGCTCAAAATCAAAGTCCTGACACCTCAAGTTGCTGATCAGAGGAAAACCTAAGACAAGCCACAGGTTCTATCAGGGCTTGCCAAAATGCTGCCTATTTTGTGAACTGTCCTTTTTAAATAAGCCAGCTGTGGTTTCTTAAGAAATTAAGAGATGAAGGGAATTTGGGAATGAAAAGGAAAAATTTAAGTCTTCCAGGGACAGGTGCTATGAGGTAAATTCAAAGAGATAAAAGACCATACATGTTGCTACCTGTAGCATGTACAAAACTGCTCCCTTGTGGGCATTATCATTACTGGAGTAAATAAAACTACATCAGAATCAATTCTTCAGTCTGTTTTATCATATTCTTTAAAAAAAAAAAAAATTGACAGCATCTGCAGGCACTGCAGGCCCCCTCCTGACACTGATTCTCTCCAGACAAGGGGTCTGGGTGAGATCTGTGCCGACCAAACAGATACCAAGCTAAAAGGCAGAAAGGGAGAAACTGTAAACAAGGATCTGAGCTAAAGCACCCCGAGTAAATTATTCATTACAAAAATACAATTGCTTTTTGTGAGTGTTTTCTGAAAATTAAACTACCCCACGAGGATCTTCAGCTTCTCAGGTTTTAATGGATGCTTTGCTAAGCACACAATAAATGCCTTTTTTTTTTTTCACACTAAGCAGTTTTTGAGCCGAAGGGGGGAAAAAAAAAAATCCCCAACTTACTTAAGTGGCATCAAATTATAAAACTGCAAAGCAGCCATTCCAATGGCCTGTATAAGAATGAGAGAAAATGATCCATCTCTTTGTCTGCAGTGCTTTGTACTTGCAGTGATTACTCTATATTTTCCAAGTGCAGACACATGCTATTCATCTCTGGAATGGCACAGCAGCCTGCTGTGTAATTCCTGTAGCTGGGGCTACTGGCAAATGTTTTCGGTTTCACACTGTTCAAAGACTATTCAAAAACTATTTATCTTTCTTGAAAGAAAAAGTGTGATACCAAAGGAGTGCATAAATTTTAATGCTGAATTTCAACTCAAAGAGCATTTTATACATGTACAATTCCCAAAGAATGTTTTGAGTTTATTATCACAGGCAAAATACTTTTATTTTCTTTTTTTATCAAGTGGGACAGTCAATCACCTTCCCTTTGGCTTAGCTTTATTAATTTCTCTTCACAAAGAAAGACAGTTCAGCAGAAGCAACATGAAAAGCACATCACAAAATACAAATCTGTGCAGGGACTTGGGAAACAAAAAGGAGTTATTGGAGACAGAGATGTGTCAGAACAAAAACAGATGTATATTATCTGCAAAGCAAGACTGTTAGTCATTAGGTTGTTTTTGCAGGACTGTCACAGCGAGTTCTTGTGAACATTTTTTAGGTTATTTTCTGATATATTTTTTATACACTTTTCCAGATACTTCATTTTACCTGAAATACCTGAAGTGGTCTCGGGGTACATCTCATTGCTTCCAGTGAGAACTGAGTTTTGATGTGTTCAGTTAACAAAGTTATTCACAAAAAGTCCTAAAGGTGAACCTGCTCCACAGCCTACTTTGCCATTTCTGTTGGCAGAAACCTCAAACAAATACCCTTTCCCTGAGAACACAGTTCAGAGAAGCCCAAACCAGTTCAAGATTCTGGAACTACTTTGAAGAGAAGGGGTCAATGCTCAGAGCAGCAACTGAAGAGGCCTTATTATTAATATAACATATATCAGACTGC